AATTTTTGTGGGCTGTTTCACATTCTGATGAGTGCTGGCTATAGGTGTTCTTGACTCAGAAGACACCCTTTTTGTTAGGGAATTGGAACACACTTATCCTCCAGTAGGTTTTCTGAGGACGCAAATCTAATAGCTGCCAGTAGCCCACTTCCTACCCCCCCCCCCCCCCCAGTTGCTGGTGGATTTCAGCCACCAGAGGGGTGTGGCTTTTGTGTTAGCAGTGCAACAGCTCCTTACTAAACCAGCAGAGCTCCCACTCTTGACTCTACATAACACTTTAATTGGCTGTTATAGTTCCCACCCCAATTTTATCTGAGACTTGGTATCAGTGATCTTTTGCTTTTTTAATACAGAAAAGCAAACTAGCTGGGAGGTTTCCTACATGTACTATTATGCTGCTCTTTTTATTTCCCTGAAAGGGAAGGGTGGAGCTATAAGGTTAAGAGGATTGATTCTTTGTGGCACCAATACATTTTTACTATTAAAAAAATGCATATACAGTATTTGTCCTTTTGAGACTGAGTTGGTTCACTCAGGATAATGCTCTCTAGATGCTCCTATATCTTATAGTATTTTACAAAATCTGTTATTCTTTCATAAAAAAATTGTGTACTCTCCCACTTTAATCAGCTGTTAGAGAAAGTAAGTATGGAAACATTTTTTTCAGATGTTCTCAAAAGTAAAGAATATGGCAAGAGGCTGCATTGCAATCCCAAAGGCACGCGGTTCAAATCCACCAGATGCTCTGCTGGAGAAGGAGGGGCAAATCTCTTCCTGTGCCAGTCTGATTCGATTCGATTCGATGGTAAACAACAATAACAACAAAAAGTTTAAAGAATAATCAGTAATTAACTTCTAATGTACCACACACTGCAGTGCGTGTGTTTATGACTGTAACCATCATAAAAGAGAAATAATTATGACACAATTCACAAACTTTTTGGCAATTTCCTAACCAAAAAAAATAGGATGTCCAGGAAGCCTCAATCCTTGACTGTTTTCAGCACCTGTCTCTAGATTTTGGACGCTGTAGTTGTTATTACCGTAAAGCGTGTTTAATAATGAATTACTTGAGTCTCTTTCCTTTCAGCTCTGTTCTCACTGAGTTAAATGACCGGTGGTAGGGAGCTTGTTAGAATTTGGAGGTGGTTATTGTATCTTTAGTAGATGATTATTTTGTCAGAGATGTTTCTTGTCGAATTTATCATTGCCCCATTTTTTATGCATAAAGTGTCATGAAAGCCAAACTGGAGAAAATATGGGCATTTAATCTGTTCTCACCCTACATCATTGCTGTTTTCTAAGTATTTATAGGATAAATAAAGCTACAGTTCGCAGATCACACTTGGAGAGTGTCTTAATTCTGTTTTCTCTCTTCACACTTTCTGTTTGAGAATGAGTTGCATGTCTTCCGGGAGTTTCTGATTCGTGATATTGGTTTGTTCATCACCTCCTCAAGAGCATCAAAGGCTGCTTGCAAAGCACTCCCACCACAGCCTCAAGGGAAAAGAGAGACTATACAACCAGTTAAGAGCAGACTTTAGAAATGTGAAGTCTTCACTTTCCCGCTTTGTTTCAGGAGAAGTTTGAGGGGGACCATTCCCGACTTGTCCCGCCCTGGTCAGCTCTGTTTAACTGTGGACGGCAAAACCTAAGAGTCTTCAGTCTACTGCGGAGCGAGGTTGAGGGTGGAGCACTGAATGCACCGCTGCACTTGGCTTGGACTCCTTAAGTCTAGAAGGTGTGGCTGTCCAGGCTCTGTGAATCGCCTCTCACAGCCTCCCCAAACGGTTTCCCTCCTAATCCCTCCCTCTTTCGCGCCAGTTAAGGGTTAATAGGTCTGGTTTCCCGGGACTCCGCTTTCCAGGATCCCGGGAACACCCGGCGGGCGGAGTCCGCGGGCTCAGCCCCAGGTGCAGGCAGTTGTCAGGCGGAGCGGTGGGTGGTGACGGGGCTCGTAGCTGTCCTAGGAAACCGGGTGCCAGAAGGGGTGTGCTGGCTTCTCGGAGCGCATTTCTTGCGTGGCCGGGCCCCCGTGCTCCTGCGGGGGGTCGGGGCGTGATCGCTGCGCTGCCTGGTCTCGCGGCTCAGCTCGTCTCGGCACCCGCAGGCGGCGCTGCGCTCCTCCGCTCCGGCTCCCATCCCAGACGGCTGCCAAGCCTCCTGTCCTGCACGCTCAGCTCCCCGCGGGCCAGCCCCCGCCGTGCCGCGACCCGGAGGCTGAACGTCGGCGGTGCGGGCGGAGCTCGCTGTCCGCCGCGGCCCGTGCTCTCCGGGAGCCCGGAGCATGGTTCTGGGGCGCCTGCGGCGGAGCGCGGACGCCGGCAGGGAGCATGGTGGGCTGGAAGGTGGCGGTTCTCTGTCTGTGCATCTCTTGCGGCTCCTGCGCGGGGCAGCTCGAGTACTCAGCATTGGAGGAGACGGAGCCGGGAGTAGCTGTAGGCAACGTGGCGGCGGATTTGAGGCTGTCAGCGGCCGCGCTGTCGTTGAGGAACTTTCGGTTCCTTTCTAGTCACCATGAGCCCTACTTCGAAGTGGACCCGGCCAGCGGTAGCTTGGTGGTGCGGGAGCCGGTGGACCGCGAACGGCTGTGCGGGGCCAAAACTGCCTGCCTCCTGACCTACGAGCTGGTGCTGAGTGACCCACTGGAGCTGCACAAGGTGCGTGTTCACGTCCTGGACGCCAATGACAACGCGCCTCATTTCGCTGCTGGCGACGTGCAGCTGCACATCCCCGAGTTCCTGACACCCGGCGCCCGGTTTACTCTTCCCGGCGCTCTGGATGCAGACGAGGGAAGTAATGGGGCGCTAAGCTACAGCCTGAGCCCCAGCCCCCACTTCCGCCTGGCCATGGGGGCGCGGGCCGACGGCAGCGAGTTCCCGGAGTTGGTGCTGGAGGAAGCGCTGGATCGGGAGCAGCGCGCCACCCACCGACTGGTGCTCACGGCGCGGGACGGCGGGCGGCCTGCGCGCTCCGGGGACGCACAAGTCACCGTCCTCGTGGTGGACACCAACGACAACGCGCCGGTGTTTGAGCGCTCTGTGTACCGCACGAAGACTCCAGAGACTGCCCCCAATGGGACAGTACTGTTGCAAGTTCAGGCCTCGGACCCGGATGAAGGTTCCAATGGGGAAATCCGCTACTCCTTAAGCAACAGCACACGAGCAGATCTGAGACACCTCTTTCATGTGCATCCGAGAAGTGGGGAGGTGAGTGTAGCGGGGTGGCTAGGTCCGCCAGAAACGCTGTTGGAGGCTTACATCGAAGCGAGGGATGAGGGCGCCTTTGGCCTAGCAAGCACTGCTAAGCTGCTGGTGGAAGTGACAGACGTCAACGATCATGCCCCGGAGGTGAACTTCGTGACTTTATCCAGCCCTGTTTCTGAGAACACTGCTCCTGGCACAGTGATTGCGCTTCTCAGTGTAAGGGATGAGGATCTCGGTCCCAATGGTCGGGTCACTTGTAGCATGTCCAGTGGAGGCCCTTTCCAGCTGAAGGCTTCTTTTGACAACTATTATAGTCTTCTGACTGATGGGGCACTGGACCGGGAGCAGACCAGTGAATACCGGATCTTGATCACAGCCTCAGACGGCGGGTCGCCCCCACTTAGCACCCGCAAGACACTCACTGTGTCAGTTGCCGATGTGAACGACAATACACCAAGCTTTGCGCAACAACAACAGGAACTCTTTGTGGCAGAAAACAACGGCCCTGGTGCCTCCTTGGGGCGCGTGTTTGCTCAGGATCCGGACCTGGGGGAGAATGGCCTTGTCTTTTATAAACTCTTGGACGTTAACTCTGAAGACCTACCAGCCTCCAGCTTGGTGGTGGTGGAATCCTCCTCTGGGGCGATCACTGCCAAAACTTCCTTTGACTTTGAGCGACTCAGGGGGTTTCCCTTTCAGGTAGAAGCCAGGGATGGTGGCATCCCTCCCCGAAGCACAACGGTGAGTGTGAACGTGTTTGTAGTGGATAGGAACGACAATGCTCCAGTCATCTTGTTTCCCTTGCCCAGGAATGGCTCTGTACCAGTGGAAATTGTTCCTCGCACTGCCAGAAGTGGGCACTTGGTCACAAAAGTGGTAGCCGAGGATGCAGACAGTGGCTCCAATGCCTGGCTTTCCTACCATGTCTCTCAGGCTTCTGATTTTAGCCTTTTCAGAATTTCGACTAGTATGGGAGAACTTCGGACAGCTCGCTTAGTTCTTCCCACTGATGCAGTTAAGCAGCGAGTGGTGGTGGTGGTTCAGGACCATGGACATCCACCACTTTCCTCCTCGGTCACCTTGGGTGTGCTGTTGAGCAACTCTGTGCCTCAGGTCCTTCCAGACTTTGAAGATGCCTGGGAAACAGGAGGGCAGCTTTCTGTCCAGAACTTGTATTTAGTCATTGCTCTAGCCTGCATTTCCTTTTTATTTCTGGGGTGCGTGCTTTTCTTTCTGTGCAGCAAATGGAACCAGAGCCTAGTTTGTAGCTCACTGAGCTGTTGTGCAGCTTGCTGTAGCTCTCCAGAGGAGGTGACATATGCAAAGAAGAGGACTTCAAATCCCTGCATGGCATCAACCACAATAGATGTCACTACAGTTGAGAGACTGTCTCAGACCTATCTCTATCGGGCCTCTCTGGGACTTGGTTCTGATAATAAACATTTGCTATTGCCTGGGAAATACAGTGCTGCTGACCTGAGAAATCTGTCCACTGGGGTAGGATTGAATTTGCCGATATCCTGTATTCAGATTCGAAATAGGAAAGGAGATCACACGAATGCCAATGCTATGGTAAGCAAATATTTTTTGGAATATTCCTTATGTAAGCCTTCATGATATTTAAACTGAACACACTTGCTTATACCCTGTGTATTAAGAATTTTGAGAGTGTAAAATTATTATAAAGTGGTCCTTGGTCTCGGGGATTATATGTATATTAATCTCTATAGTTTCTATCTATCTATCTATCTATCTATCTATCTATCTATCTATCTATCTATCTATCTATCTATCTACTCTAGTGGCGTAGTGGTGAGGGATTGTGCTGCCAAACCAAAAACATGTGATTTGAACCCACTGGTTGCTTTTTGGGAGAAAGATGGGCAGCCTCCTTCTGGGTGATTTATTACCTGTGAAGAACTGCTGTAGCATCAGCTATGAATTGGTTTTGACTCGATGACACCTAACAACAATATCTATCCTTTTTTAAATCTGTCAATCTGAAGAAGTGTTCCTCTGTTTGAGAAATGAGTCTAAAAAACTCAAATCTATTAAAGAAAAACGTCCAAAATGAAAAACAATAAAGTGTCGAAATTTCTAGTAGGTAATAAATGATCTCAGACTTCTTTAAATAGCTTCTTTTAGAAATTCTTAGATTGAACTACTAAAAGCAAAGAACTCTACATCCAAACATATTTCTTGAGCTATAGAAATGTATAAGGCACTCTGAAATCTACATTGGAGAATTAAAAAAAAAGTAAGAATTTGTGTGTGAGTTTAAATTTTATCGTGGAAAGTGAGACATTTATTCAAACCTTTATAGTGCATGAGGAAAATTATAGTACTCTTGTTAGGTACTGTTGAGTCTACTATGACTCATAATGTAGTCATATACTAGAGATATGAAATGTGAAAATAAGTTGTAGTGGAAGTTCAAAGAGGGAGAGGAACATGAAAAAAACATTTACGTGGAGAGAGGTGCCTCAGAGAAGACTTTCTGGTAGAGATAGCACTTGAATTTGGTCTTGAAAAATATGTTATTATTATTGTAAGATTGCAGACTCAAGAAAGGGACCAGGGTACAGAAAAGCTTAAAGGCAGCATTATTAGGGAGATCCTGGGAGAGGTTCCTTGGTCTGAAGATGAAAGCCAAGGAAGTCGTGCCCAGGGTATATTTGGGTGAGTTTTTATAGCAGGGTCTTGAGAGAGGGGGAAGGGTAGGGACATTCCATTGTGGTCTGTAGTTCAGCCAGGTGGTGGGGCCTTTGTTTTGGCTCAACAATTATGTGCCATCTAGTCAGAAGTGACTCATAACTGGTCCTTCAATGAGTTTTTTAGAGGCATAGGAGGAGATTGGCCATCTTTCTTCTGGAAAGCAGCTCATAGATTCAAACCAAGTAAGTGCCTTTGGGTTGGCAGTGTAACTCCTTATCCACTAGGTTACCAGAGCTCATGAAATGTGATGTAACTTCTAGCCAATACATTACACAGTGCCATTTTGAAGAAGTAGTCTTTGAGAAAGACATTCATAAATATAGCAATAACTCCCCAGAAGTGTTTTATAAGTGTATAGGAAACTATAACTATGTTTCAGAACTCCTATATTTGGTGATATAAAACCCCACACCATTTTAAATATGAATTTTTTGTTTTATTTGTTGTATTGCTATATATTACAAAGAAAAAATGAATAATTGCTAAGTTGAAGCATTTTCATGTTCAAAAGTGTATTTACTATATTCAAAGCCTGTAGTAAAGGCACACAGTCCAAGGCTAGTTGCTGTACAGTGGAAAGATGGACAATCTCCTGTGCAATTAGCTGCCTCTGAAAACCCACCAGAGGGTCAGCTATGGGTCAGTTCTGACTCTATAGTACACAACAACACAACAACATTTAACTTGGACGTAATTTTCTTACTATTTTGAAACCACTTATACCTAACTTTGAAAATAAGTAAGTTACCTGCTTTAGAGTTCTATCTCTATTAAGAATTATAGCTGACTGTCCTATGGGCTCTCTCTCAGAGGGTATATGGCTATGGACTACACTACTAGAGGTCCCTTGAATAGTTAAATAAAGGAGATATTTGCATTTTTTCAGTGGTTCTTGGCATTTCAAAACTTAGAATGGACATTTTCTGCAATTATACAGTATTACTTTCTGACTTGTCATACAGATTACAGATACAAGGGCAAGTGGTATATAGGAATTAGGGAAGGGAATTGAAGCATTTATTACTATTTTAGGTAGTAAATAGATAATAAATTATTCTCTCTGAAATAATGATGCAAAGAAAATAGATTTTCATCCAATGTAATTGACCTGAAGCGCTTGCTGCTGAGGGTCAGGGATTGCAGCCTTCAATATGGATTGAGGCTCAATGTCAAGAAGACAAAGATTCTCACCCTTGGACCAATTGACAACATCAGGATGGATGGTGAAGAGATTGAGATTGTTCACAGCTTTAGTCTGCTTGGCTCCACAATCAACACTCTTGGCACCAGCAGCCAGGAAATTAAAAGACGTATTGTGATGAGAAAGTCTGCTGTTAGGGATCTCTCTAAAATACTAAAAAGCAACAGTGTGTCTCTGGAGACTAAGGCGCATCTGGTACAGGTCATGGTCTTTGCAATCACTTGTTATGCGTCAGAGAGCCGGACAATGACCAGGGTGGATAGAAGGAGAATTGATGCTTTTGAGCTTTGGTGTTGGAGAAGAGTGCTGAGGGTACCATGGACTGCTAAGAAAACAAACAGATTCATCCTGGAGAGGGTTAAACCAGGCTGCTCCTTGGAGGCAAGGATTCTGAGACTTTGTCTGACATACTTTGGTCATGTTGTAAGGAGAGACCAGTCCTTGGAGAAAGACATCATGCCTGGGAGGGTGGAGGGACGGCGCAGGAGGGGAAGGCCCTCTGGGAGGTGGATTGATTCAGTGACTGGGGCAATTAGGACGAGTGTGTTGGAGACAATGAGATTGGCACAGGACAGAGCAGAGTTTAGAGCTGTTGTACATACGGTCGCTATGAGTTGCAAGTGACTCGATGGCACATAACAACAATAACAATATTCTGTCATAGCTAAATATAATCTACTATATAAAATACACTTAGTATCTCTTGTTGAATGAGTGAATAAATAAATATGTGCAGCTGTGCATTCAGTTGCCATATTGTTCAACATACAGGGGGAAACTTTAACATTCTTTTCTTCTTGGAATGCATAAATATAGTTAAAAGTTCAAATGCAACTTTCAAATGTATTATCTCAATGATTTCCCCCCCCCTTTCATGATGCATAGTAATGAAGTATAACACAACAAGGATTTTCTGTTCTTGGTATAGGAATGTGTACTACTGAAGTATATAACATAACAGTAATACCTTGATGCTGAGTTCAGGGGTTAAGTATGAGTTCAGTTCTTATAGAAGACAAAACAATGTTAGTAGAGATGAGCATCATTGTGAAATCTACAGTCAATATTATTTAATACAATATCAGTTAATTTTAAGGAAGAGAAATATTTCCTACTCTAATATTACTACTCCGGAATAATACACAAGAGTGTGTCCTCTGGTGGTGTAGTAGATAGGGAGGAGTGCTTTGTTAACCTAAAGGCTGTGAGTCTCTGGAACTTTGAATCCACCAGTGGTTCCCCAAAAGAAAGAAAGATGGACAGTCATCTCCCATTAAGATTTACAGCCTCAGAAACCTGGTGGAAGGTTGCTTTGATTTGGAACCAACTTGACAGCAGTGATCCATTAAAAACCATGTATGAGCACTTTTCTACCTAGACAAGTCACAATTTATTTTATTTTCTTGCTTTCTATAGCAGAGAGAGTGGAAAATAACAATGACAGCTCTGAAGAAGAGTTGCTTGAGAATGTGTTTTAATTGGACTAGAAAGAAAATAATGGTAGGAAGACCAGTGAATATGGAAGTTGAAAGGAAAAGAAATTTTTTAAAAGCATTAGCTGTGATCTAGGGTTTAAGGCTGACTTGATATCAGTTAACAAGAAGAACAGAGGGAAAAAATGCCCTCTTGGGATTTTACATGTATGAATGAGAAATATAGTGACAGATATATCATTTATGTGTATAGGATGCTGTGCCAGCCTGTTCAGCTACATGAACAGTCTTGTTAATATTTAGCTTTTTAGGTAATCAAATATCCCCTTGTAATTTTGTGAGTTGTGTATTTCCTTATACATAAAGTAACTATAGGACATACAAACATGAATAAAATAATTTTTGTAAACTTAGAGTGCTTATAGTTCATGCAGGTACTTATTATTTATGTCTTTTTATCGGCTACATGTTAATCCAGTCTTGGATCTTAAGAAAGAATGCTTGTCATCATATTCACTGAATCCTTGTCTGACAACTACAGATTTCTGGAAACAAAAATATTTAATGTTTGGATTTTATAAGACAAAACTCCTTTGAAAACAGAAATTTCACAATGATTTTTTATTGTCTGCTTGAGTTATCCAAATCGTGTTGATGCATCTGTGTTTATATTTTGTTCACGTTTAAACTCTTATTTTAATTTCTAGTGTACACTAGCATAGTTTATGATACTAAAATCTGTCTATAAAAATATCAGGACAGCATGGCTTTCTGCTTCTCCTACTACTAATATTTAATGGACATAAACAAAATTATCTATTGATTACACAACATAAAAGGAACCCTGTTTACAGAGATTAAGCACTTGACTGTTAACTGAAAGACCAGTGGTTTGAACCCAGTCATTGCCTGCATGATAAAAAAACTGCTCCTATGAAAATTACAGCCTGAGAAACCTTATGTGACAGTTCTGCTTTGTACTTGCAGGGTCTTTATGAATTAGAGTCTACTTAATAGTGCCTAACAACAACAGGCAACAGATATCTCTCATCAATTTCTAGATGAACATTCTTTATGGACAACTTAATTTCTTTAATGTTGTTATCTTTGAGGTATAAATTTCTATTTGCCTTTTAAAATTTGTTGTGCTGGCAAATTCTTTTAGATAATATAATGATTATGTGTGGATCATTACAAACTGTGGCTGACTCTGAGAAGAATGGGAATCTCAGATTGTTCTAATGTGAAACCTATACGTGGACCAAGAG